ACAGCAGACTTCTTGTTCATCTCAAACTCTGCCTGGGACTATATTCATTTCTGGAGCCATCTCTGGGTCTCGAGTGTAGGTTTCCCAGCTCCAATGTCACACAGTGGTACAGGGGGCTAAGGTGCTTGCTGCTGTGTTTCTTCCTTTCCAGCTTTCTCATGCAGGCTGGAGCCTGGCATGGGGATGAGGCTTCCCCCCAAAGCAGCAAGAGGACTCTGGCTGTTTTAGATCGACCATCTCCTCTGTTAGTCAGGTGGGATTCTGCTAGCTCAGGGAGGAAGTGGCCACTGCCCCAGCTCAGGGTGCACCAGAGTCATCTTCCCCTCCCCTTCTGGGCAGGCATTCAAATGACTAATACCTGCCACCAAATGACAACTGAGTGCCATGGGAGAGATGTCAGCAGTAAATACCAGGACATTTTAAGAGTGGGAGAGGTCGCTTAGTGATAACGTATGGCTTCCTGTCGGAGGAAAGAAGCAAAACCATTAAGAATGGGTAGGATTGGGGCGCCTGGGTGGCTCAGTGGGCTAAGCCTCTGCCTTCGGCTCAGGACATGATCTCATGAGCTCAGTGTCCTGAGATTGAGCCCCTCATCGGGCTCTCTACTCAGCAGGGAGCCTGCTTCCTCCTCTCTCTCTGCCTGCCTCTCTGCCTACTTGTGATCTCTGTGTCAAATAAATAAATAAAAATCTTTAAAAAAAAAAAAGAATGGGTAGGGTTTTTACAGGTTGAGAGAAAGAGAATGGGAGGAAGACAGGGCCGTCCTAGTGTGGGAAACAGTTCAGAAGACCAAGACCAGACCAAGACCAAGACCAAACCAAGACCAGAAGGTAGGAGAAGCCTACTGGGTGCAGTAGAAACAAGTTTGTGCAGGAGAGGGAGAAGAAATTGAAAGGGGGGGATGGGGAGGAATCAGGGAACCTGATGTTGGATTGGGATCCATCTCCCCAGGAGCCTGGTGACCCCTTACAACAGGGGTCCATTCTCGTCTGTATCCTTGGCATGGTAACTGGCTTTTCATGCTTTGTTTCCAGAATCTTGGCCAACACTGGTGCTTGACCACATAGCTCTAGCCCCAAGGAGATTCTTCTGAAAAACAAGAACAAATCTTTCCAAAAACAAACTCTTTACTATTTTGCAACTGGTCAAAGTGGAGGATCCCAGAGATGTGTTCCCCCACGAGATGTGAGAGGCACAGAGTCTCAGGGAGCTCCCAGAGGGCCTGGCATAGGCGATTTTGCCAACTGCCTTTCCACTTTGCAGCCCCCCTCCCCGAAACCTCCTGAGTCTTGGGCCTCCCAGGAAGAGGAGAATTTATGGGGTTCCCCTCTCAAAGACTCCAAGGCCTTAGGGATTGTCATATCTAATTTTAGATTCATAATTTTGTATTCTTTTCTATAAAGAGAAACCCCCAGTTGTGGCGAGTGGCACTTTGACTTCTGCCTTCAAATATTCCCCCCTGGACTCTAGTCCTTCCCACATCTACCTCTGCCTCCAAGCTCTCTGGGCCCCCCGCACGCTTCAGTTCACCTGCAACAGAAGCACTACCCAATGTGTCAACGTGGGCTGGAGCTGCTGTTTCCTTCTGGTCTGAAGTCACATATGAAATCCATTTCTTGGCTGAATGGGGTTTCCATGGTAGACGCCACTTTCTGGGGCAGCAGCCCACAGTACCCCATGTGTATGTTCACATTCCTGGGCAGCCAGCCTCACCATCCACTTTTCTTCAATTTTTTTTCCCAGTCTTTCTTCCCATTTGACCGATTTAATAATCCATGGTCCTGTCTTCAAGTTTGTTGGTTCTTTCTTCGGCCTGCTCAGGTATGCCTTTGAATCCCTCTAATGGATTTCTCATTTCAGTTGTTGTGCTTTACAGGTCTTTCTTTTCGATTTCTTTTTCATTTTTCCATTTCTTTATTGATTTTTTTCATTTTGCTCGTGCATCATTTTTTTACTCTCTCCATATCTTCCTTTTGTTCTTTGAATATCCTTAAGCCAGTTGTTTTAAAATCTTTGTCCAGTATATCTTCTATTAGGTCTTCTTCAGGGATGTTTCTATTTAATTCTTTTTTCTTTGAATGGACCCTAGTTTCCTGTTCCTTTGTATGCCTTGTGTGATTGTTGTTTGTTTGTTTGTTGTTGTTGTTGTTTTATTTGTTGTTGTTGTTTTTTTGACACAGAACATTTGAGTCTAATAATGTGGTAACTCTGGAACTCAGATTCTCCTCCTTCCCCACAATTTTCAGTTATTGTTTTTGTTGGCTATTGTAGGGTGTCTCTGTGCTGAATATGGGCACAAGGTGTAAACTAAGGTCTTCTTAGGTTTGTTCTAATCCTTTCCCTGAGCATGCTTTGTCACTTTCCAAAATTTCCCACATATATAGTCATGTTCGAACGTCCTAGTCTTTAACATGCAACTCTCAAAGGGGGAAAAGCAAACACTGAAGGGGAGGAAAAAGGAGCTCAGCCTTTTAAATCTCCTGGAATTCATTTCAAATGGAGGGGGAACGGCTTGTAAGAATGGCTGTTTGCCTCTTTGTTTGAACCTTTGTGATCAGAAACTATAATCAGGGATCGAAGTATGTTACATCAGATAGATTTTGCTAGAGCAGTTGCAGTTATAGTCTAGGTGGGGAGCTGGATTCCTGGTTCCTCCTCCACTATCTCTCCAGAATCTTCCTCCTCCTCCTCCACTTCCTCTCCTCCTTCTCCCCCTCCTCCTTCTCTTCCTTCTCCTCCTCCTCCTCCTCCTCAAGGATTTATTTATTTATTTATTTATTTATTTATTTATTCATTTATTTTAGACAGGACAGAGCATGGGTGGGAGGGAGAGGGAGAGAGAGAAAATCTTAAGCAGACTCCCTACTGAGTGGCACCAGATTCGGGGCTTGATCCTAGGACCACAAGATCACGACCTGAGTAAAAATCAAGTTGGAGGCTTAACCAAATGAGCCACCCAGCTGCCCCCAGAATCCTCTTCTCAATTACTTTTACATTAGCTTCAAAAGTTGTCAAGGATAAACAAAGTCATACCCTAGTTAAAGTGTTAAGGACACATTTTAATCAGTAACATACTGTTGCAACAGGTAAGAGTCTAGCACGAACTGAACTCTGGTTTTCACAGAGGTCACTGGATGATTTAAGGGAGAGCGAGGGAGAGGGGTGGAAGGGAGTGGGGCTCAGGGGACTGGGGGAGTGAACAGTTACAGGAAGGGGAGGGGATGTGGTCCCTGTGAAACCCATCTGTGTTTGCTAACAGGTGCTTATCAAAGTTGGGCTTCTGCCCTTCCCCAAAGGCTGGGAGACAGAAGCTCTATCTTTGGGTGTTCACTGGGACAGATAGTAAATCCTTTCGGTGGCCTTGAGTTCTCTCAGGCAGGCACTGGGGTGGGGCCTTGAGCTGTGAGAACTGTGTTAGTGATTGTTCAAATCTTTATAGACCACAGATGAAGGTTAGTTGGGAAGAGGGCTCAAGGGCAGCCTAGTTAGAGTTTGGTCAAGGAGAGAATCTTTGTCAAAGTAAAAAGGAAAAACTACAGATAGAGCTAATGTTCCCTGATTATCATTCTGAACCCTAGCTCCTTCTTATTTCTCTGAATTAATCTTACCCTTGTTACTGGTGTAGGTGAGCTGTTTTGTTTATTTTTCCCTTCAAATTTTGAATGCACTTACCTGTGTGTTTATGTCTGTGTGTGTATTCATAGGAACACACAGGAAATACATACGTGTGTATTTTAACAAAACTGTGTCTATTGGTTTCACTGAATAAGCCATTCTGAGAGTCTTTCCTTTATGGTACTCTTTTTTTTTTTAATTTTATTTATTTATTTTGACACAGAGAGAGAGATCACAAGTAGGCAGAGAGGCAGGCAGAGAGAGAGGAGGAAGCAGGCTCCCCATCAAGCAGAGAGCCCGATGCGGGGCTCCATCCCAGGACCCTGGGATCATGACCTGAGCCGAAGGCAGAGGCTTAACCCACAGAGCCACCCAGGCGCCCTGGTACTATTCTTTTGATTCAAGCATGGTAGTCAATAGTGTGACTACTCCCTAGACATTTTTAGATTCCTATTGAGGGATATTTGGGCTGTTTCCAATTTCTTTTGGAATCACAATAAGCTGGATGGCAATGAACATCCTGTGAATGTCTCTGTGAAGTACTTCTTGAACACAGAGATGGACCGGTGAAATTCCTAGGTCCTTGAGCATGCATTTAAAATTTTAATAGATGTCACCAAATTGCCTTTTTGGAACAGCCCAACACACTTACCCTCCCCTCAGCTGGGTGAGAGTGTTTGATCTTCACACCTTTCCCAGCACCAAAGGGATTCAAACTTCCTAATAGCTGTTAATCTGCTGCGTCAAAACAGCCTTTTTTTTAAAAAAAAAAAGATTTTATTTATTTATTTGACAGAGATCACAAGTAGGCAGAGAGGCAGGCAGAGAGAGAGGAGGAAGCAGGCTCCCTGCTGAGCAGAGAGCCCGACGACATGGGGCTCGATCCCAGGACCCCGAGATCATGACCTGAGCCGAAGGCAGAGGCTTAACCCACTGAACCACCCAGGCGCCCCTCAAAACATCCTTTTGTTTGATTACTTCCACTGGCCGTCTGTATTAACTTTTCTGGGACGTGGCCCATAGCCTCAGATATGAAAATGACCTCGGATTGAATTTTGCATTGCTCCCATGGCTTTGATTATGGGGTCTCAGCCCAAGTCATGCTAAAGGGAAGATGGAGGGAAGAGCAAGGGGGCAGAGGGCGTGAGGAGAACAAATTTTCAGCTCCCTCTCCTGGAGCTAGGACTGAAACTAAGGAGAGGCTGTGAGAGCCAGCCCCAGACTCCAGTAGCATAGTCGCTGTCCAGTTTTGCTGGTTCTTGGTGGGGGGCAGGAGAGGGGAAAGGCAGGGTTCTAGGCAGGATCCCCCTCCTCTGAGCGGGCCACCAGCAGCTCTCCCTGACACCTCCTGGGCTAGTCCTCCCTTCTTGGTGTCCTTCCCACAGCAGTGGAGTCAGCAGTGGAGTCTCCTACCTGGAGAAGGGGGAGAGAGTAGTACAGCAGGCGGTGCAAAGGTGAACCTGTGCATAGCCCCCTCGTCTAGCGGGGCAGAGAGCCACACCTTGCAGTTCCGGCTGGGTGCTGCTGTGTACACGGCGGCTGCCTCCTGTAGCTGTCCCCGGTGTTGGCGCCTGCTGTACCCGCTGCCCGAGGCCCATGAGGCTGCCCAGGGTCCTCGGCTTCCTCTGGATGCTCGGGGCCTCCACGGGGTCCAGAGGTGAGGGGGCTGGTGGGAAAAGGGCTGCAGAGACCCTCCTGATGTTCTAGGGCGGGGTGTGTGGGGAAGTGGCCCTGAGGCCTCAGGGGAGACAGAGGAGGGATTCCTCAGAGCTTTCAGTGTGGGAGGCATTAAGGAGAAAGGAAGCTGGGTTCATCTGGTGCTGTTCTCCCCCCAGGACCAAGCAGGTTGCAAGGGTTGGTGCATGCATTGGGAGGGTGGGCATAACCTCTCTCCAGAGGAGCGTTCTTCCCTTTGATTTGGTGTTCTGAGCCCTCACTTCTCTTCTGTCCCTCCCCCCATCAGCCACGGTGCTCTGGTCCACTCTGGACTCTTCCTTTACTTCCCGGGGCGCTCTCTCCACGACAGCTCCACTTCTGCCCCTGGGGTTCTCTCCTCCTTCTGGGGCATCTCTGCCTTTGGTCCCAGTTCCCTCCTACAGCTCTGCCTCTACCTCTCCCTGCCCCCACCCAGCCCATGTTTCTGGGCACAGTTGTCATTGGCAAGGCCGGGCTGGGAGATCCTGATGGCTCCCAAAGGTTGGGTGTGTACCACCCGGCATGGGTTCAGGGCTTTCTTTTTCCTGTCCCTTCGGAATTCCACAGTTCCCCCATATTTCCCTTCCCTCTTTCTCCTGCTGTCTGTTCCTGACCCCCGATCCTACACCTTCCCAACCTAGAGGCCTGTGGACCACCCTCACTTACCTCCAGGGCCACCTCCCGGCTCTAAGGGCTCCAACCCAGGAATCTTCATAATCCCTTCTTCCCACCTCCCTGACACACCCAGCTAGGCTGGGACATGAAATCCCAGCTCTCAGAACAAAGATGTTCTGGGTCCAAGGTGAGGAGGAGTCCAATGGTGAGTGCGCAGGGGGTCTGGGCCCTTCCTGCTTGCAAAGGCCGTGACTGCAGGAGTCTCTCTACCACTCACCCCAGCATGATGAGATCTCTGACCCTCACTCTTAGGGAGGGGTTCAGGCTTGTAAACTAATTACCCTAGTGGGCAAAACAGAATGGGAGATAGAAAATATGTCTGTTTTTGTTAACACTCACTGCTAAACCTTAAGGTCTTTGGAACTCATGCCTACTTTTTTTTTTTTTTTAAAGATTTTATTTATTGATTTGACAGAGAGAGAGCGAGCGAGCGCGCACATAAGCAGGGGGAGCAGCAGAGGGAGAGGGAGAAGCAGGCTCTCTGTTGAGCAGGGAGCCCGATGCGGGGCTCAATCCCAGGACCCTGGGAGCATGACCTGAGCTGAAGGCAGACACTTAACTGACTGAGCCACCTGGGCACCCCTCATGCCTACCTTCTGAGTTATCCCTTTCTGGAAATTTCCTTTTCTGTCCTGTCCCTCAGCCTGTCAGTGTGGGCCTCTCTCCCTGTCTCAATAGAGTCTGAGCCCCAATCTCTGGTTTTCCCTTTTCTGTTCTCTACGCAGCTTTCCTGTCTCTGATCCAATGGCTCCAGTGTCCATGATGTGCTCCCCACCCAACCCCGCCAAGCCCAGGCTTGGCTGGGCTCTTTCAGAAGAGGAGAGTCAGCCCAGACAGCAGTGTGGCATAGGGAGAAAGGCAGAGGAGAGCCAAAGGGTGGGCATCGGGGCAGGAGGTGGGGAAGAGGAAGGAGCAGGGTAAGGGAAACATGCATGTGTGGAGAAAGGGGCGAGGTGGGAGGGCCCTCTGCTGAACCTGCAGGCTTGGCATAGCCATCCTGAGGGCTGGAAGGTCCCCGCTCAGAAGGGGGGGGGGGCAAGGACTGTGGGCGTCCCCTTGAGACCCTGAAAGGCCCTCTCCCCAAACTGCCTTGGATGGAGGGATAAGCAGTGGAACTTCCTACCTTGTGTGATACTATCTGGAAAGCGGGGCAGGGGATAACCCACGTGGTGTTTATGGTGTCAAGGCGATCTGCAAATGAATCCCGCTCCAAAGGTGAGGCAAGGTGGCCACTGAGCAGCCCCAGCAGGGCCCCTCCAGCTCCCAACAGTAGGGAGCACACACTCCCAGCTCCCCCCCCCTCCCCTCACTTTAAACCTATTTCTGAGCCGTTGCTCAAAACTACAGTCAAGTCCAACACCTCAACGATCCCAATGGCCAAGCTTGTCCTCAAGGTCAAAACCACCCCACCCACCCTCATTGTCTACACAAGCACCACAAAGGGCATCAACCGCCCCCCCCACCAGCCTTAACATCACTACCACTTAGCCCACCCCCTGCACGACCCTGACCACCACGGAGAGACTCACCTCAGCCATGACCTCCCCTCCCGCTACCACCAGCACACTGGGGGAAAACTCCCCCAACCATGGCCCTCCCCTCTTCTCTGTCTCAGCCCCACACACAACCTCCATACCCCGACATCCTCTACAACTGGTATCACAGAAAGGCCTCGCCTGACCCCAGCAAGCAGTCACACACCCAGGTCTCTTATCCCAGTAATCACTTCCGCCTCTATTACCCCTTCTCTAACTGCCCCGAACATCTCAGCAACCGTAACCAATAACAACTCTTCGCCCATCACCAATTTCTTGATCACAACCACAGCTTCGTTTCCTCCCACCGCCCGTACATTCAAAACAGCAACCGCCCCCACTCACGATCCCACATCAACAAATACATTAACAACACCTACAACACGAAGTACATCTGCTCCTACCGAAGCCACGGCCACGCTCAGTGCACCAACAATTACTTTGAAAACAATGAGTTCGATGAAAACAAAGCTTATTCTGGGGAGTGACAGCCCTAGAGAAACTCTCACAGCAGGAATTACTTCGATTTCTCCAACCCCATCATCCATCACTCCAACAAACACAATGGTTTCCGCCACATCTGCTGCCTCCGAAACCACTCTGGAACCCACCACCACTAATATTTACACAACTTTCACAGCCACAGAACCACACTCCTCCACGGCAGCTGCTACCTGCCTAGGCAAGATGGCCGTCGCCCCTTCTCATACCATACCCCCCCGGAAAACTACACTTATTCCTACAAAAGACATTTCCCCAGTGTCTCTCGTGACAGAGATGACTTCTCCTCCCACAATTACATCCTTAACTATGCCCGGGAATACAGTCAATTCTCCAACACCAGCCTCTTCTCTTCCAGTCGCCACAATACCTTGACATTGGCCATGAGGATGCGTCTGTCTTCTCCACTTGCCCAACCACAGAATCAGTCTCCACCTTGACCGCAAACCCTTTCATCCACCTTGATTACTACACTGCTTAGTACCAATGCTGCATCCACCCCTGTGGTCACCACAGCCACAACTGACATCACCACTCCCACCAACACTTCAATGTCTACCTCCATCACAGCCACTCTGCCCACTCCCTCTACCCCAGAAACAGCCATGACTGTGACTACAATGTTGGTAACAACACCCAACCCCACAATACCACCCAGGACTTCTTGTGTTTCTCCAACATCATCTTTCCCTAGTCTGAGTACATCTACAAATGCACTAACTACTTCTCTTGGTACTGTTCTCTCTTCTTCAATATCCACAACAATAATATCCTCTTCTCTATCCTCCACTAGTGCAAATTCAATGCTCACTACCACCCCTAACTCTCTTTCTACATCTTCAGTTCTCTCTAGTGTGGAAAAGATAGGCTCTTTTGCTACTGCTTTCCATGCTCCTTTTTCATCTGAAACTGTAAGAACATCTCCAGCCACATCTTCTCTGAAGACCTTTGTTACTGAAACAACCACCACGCTGTTTTATTTCTTCTGCTGCCCCATGTCCAGAATCTGTATCTGTTACCATAGCACCTGCCTCTCCCACTACTTCATTTGCGGGAATGGGTCCAAGTAGTGAAGTTTCTTCTCTGCCCACCATCCCAATGTCAGTGTTTACTTCCACTGCTGAGATGGCCACCTCCTAGTTTCACCAGTATGACAACCGTGTTTCCTATGCATATGGACACTTCTACTGTTCTGGAAATTCATCCTACCAACAGCATAACAGATGCTCCTAGTTCTGTCAGCACTGGGACTGTCCCCAGTCGCACAGTTTTGACAAGCACTCGAAGACCCACCAGTGGAAACTGGATGGGCACCAATTCTGTAACCATCCCACATATGCCTGGATTCACTAGCCTCCCACTGACCACAAAACCAAGCAGCAGCTTTCCAACTGCGATGTTGACTTCAATCAAGTTGACTTGCTCCACCCCAGCCACGATCAAGACTCCAGACACACCAGTGGTCACCTCTCAGAGTGCTATCATCCTTACATCATCCAGGACAACTTTGACCACCACTCACTTGGACCACTGCCCCAGGTTGGGCCTCCTGCTTCCCTGTTTCCTCTTCTCTCTCCTCTGATAAATTTCTGTGTCACCAAGGGCAAGCCCTATCCTGAACTTCCTTTTTTTTTTTTTTTTTTTTTGTGCTGTGACAGTGGTGGCACCTGGATGCAAGGCCTCTGCCACTTGCCCTTGGGGTTCTCTGGGCCCCACTGTGAGCTCCAGGATATTAGGTGCCAGCATGGGGGTAAATGGGATGGCCTCAAGTGCCACTGCCTTAGCACCTTCTATAGCTCCCATTGTGAGTTTGTGGTGGAACAGGTGAATCTGGGTGAGTTGCCAGGACCCTGCCTTCTGCACTTTCTCCTGGGAGATGCCACTGACTCTCCCTGGGGCCAGCCCCAGGGTTTGCCTGTCAGTACTCATGTCCTTTTGCCTAATTGCTGCATTCCTGCCTTCTCTCCCATGCTTTCCTCTACCCCATGCCATGCCTCCTTTCTACCCTCACTCCCAGGAGGTGGTTGGGATCACATACCTTCCTGTGGTCTCCTTCCCGGTCTGGGCTGCTAGAAGCTGTATTAGCTTCTAAATCCTGCTGTAACAAATCACCATAAACTTAGCAGTTGAAATACTGCAAACGTGTTGCCTTACAGTTCTGTAGACTGGAGTCTGAAGTGGGCATGGAGGTCTCTGTTGACCAGGAGTTCTCCTCGGACCTCAATGACAACACTTCCACAGCCTACAAGGATTTCAGTGACACCTTCCGGGATCAGGTGACAGGGAAAGGGAGGGAACTCAAGGGTCCTTCCCTGAAGCTGAGCTTGGGCCCCTGTGTATGCATGGGTCACAAGGTTCAGGTGAGACCCCAAGGATCTCGGCATTTCAGATGCAGAAGATTTACCAAAATGTGAAGGGGTTCAAGGATGTGGAGATCCTGTCATTGAGGAAGGAGACCCTTTTGGGGCTGTGGAGGCAGTGTTGGGAGGGGAGGGGGCACAAAGAAAAGCTGAAGAAGCCATCTTTTCCTTTTGAAATCATCAGATTTTCGAAAGAGAGAGGTGGAGGAAGGAGATAGGGGAACCAATCACGTCATGGGGGATTTTTTTCCCAATTATTTTCTGTGGTCATTTCTCTGTAGGAGAGATGCCACCCCTCCTTTTAAAACATGATTGGAAGGAGAGATTACATGGGACATGCAGGGAGATGCATATGAGGGCTTGTGGGAAGCATGGTGTCTGGATGGTAGTTCCTGGCCTCCTGAGTGGGTCAGCATGAGTGAGGCAGAGAGCGCAGGAGGGCCTGGTTTGGTAATGGCTTGATGACAGGCAAGCGCATGTCAATCATTCCTTGTCCCGCCTTCTGGACTGACTAAATCAGGGATGCTGGTGGCTCCTGCGAATCATGTTCCTGGAATCCCAAGTCATTGCTTCTGCCTTCCTCCCAATACCAGCGCACTTGTGGTTGGTCCTGGAGGTGCCCTCCTAAGGACTTACATGCCCCAGGCCTGAGCACCCTGTAAGACCCCCCTGACTCTCTTGAGCCCCTCAGGAATGGCAGCATTGTGGTGGACTACCTAGTCCCTCTGGAGTTGCCCTTTAGCCTCCAGCTGGAGAGCAAGCATGTGAAGGTGAAGACAGTGCTGAAGGAGAAGCTCCAGAATGTCAGCCATAACGGGGACAGCTGCCAGCATACCCGGAGTGAGCCAGAGCTGGAGGGAGGGGTCAGGGCCAGAGCTGCTAGCTGTGATGGGAGCTCCTGGGCTCAGGTGCCAGCCTTGGGGTCCTTCCAGCAGATTGGGGGGGTAGGTTTATAGCCAACTGGGTCAAGAATGGGGCTAGGGAGGGGCCTGCCAGAGGCTGGGTGCCAGGGAAGAGCCCTTGACAGTTCTGCTCCAAGTTTTCAGGGCAGCTGAGGACCCTTGCTCATTTGGCAGGGGTTGGGGGGAGGTGGGGATGTGGGGAGGATGGGCAAGAAGAGCCTTCCCTGTGGCCCCTCCTCATCTCCCCATAGTGACAGAGCCCTCTCTGCCCCTCCCCCAGCTTCCCTGCTCTGCTCAACTGTCCCTGAGCCTTTAACCTCCCCCAGTTCCACCCGTGCCTGTGTCCCCTCAGCCCTGTGTTTTAAGCCTGACTCCACCAAGGTGAACAATAACACCAAGAAGGAGCTGACCGTGGAAGGTAAGGATGGGCAAAGGGCTGCGTGGCCCCGGGAGGCCCTGACCCTCCCACCAGGAACATCTGCCTCTTGAAATTCCCTGGAAAGGAGGAGGAGACCTTTCAGGGAGGTGAGTGATGTGGCCCCGGGCAGGGCTGCCCTTCCTGGTCTTTGTTAGGAGCTTCCCCCTGAGGACCAGCAGGGAAGGTGGGGGGAGGGTGGGGGGTCCTGGGGATCTGTCCTCCCCTCATCTAATTCTAGGATCTACTCCACGACACCCTGCCCTTGGAAAAGCGGTTTTCCCCATTTTTGGAGCCATTCTAACCAGGCCCCTGAGTAGAGTGGATGAGGTTCCTGTTTTTCTGCAACCCTTTACCCAACCCAGCCATCTGTCGCCGCGCCACTGCTAAAGGCTATGAGGATTTCTCTCTCCTTGGTGGAGGAGAACGGGCTTGGCTGGGTCGCCCAATGCACTTGGGGCGCCATCGACTGTCAGCGGGGCCAGTGCCTCGTGGAGAAGAGCCGTCCTGCCGGCGGGTGAGACTCAGCGCACACGCAAGTGCGCCCCGCACAGCCCGCCAGGCCTCCCCGCGGGGCGCTCCCTCGCGGCCCCGCCCACCGCGCCTCAGGTCGGCTCACGTGGGCCCCACAACGGTGCACGTCGACATGAGCGGACCTGGGGCGGGGGAAGGGGGGAAGGTGTGAGGGTCAGTGACCTGTGACCTCCTGCTCCAGCTGCTTCTCCACGGCACGCTCTGGCTCTCGGGCCCGCGCTGCGAGGTGGCCGTCGCTTGGAGGGCGCTGGTCGGGGGCCTGGTGGGGGACTTGGCTCAGCTGCGGCTGCTGCTGGCTTCCCTGGGCCTCTTCGTCGTCGCGCGCTCCCGCTTGCCGAGAGATGGCCAAGGTGGAGGCCGATGAGCACCCTGGAGGTGCGGGGAAGGGCGGCAAAGGGGTCCCAGCTGGGGCGGCCCTGCTCTGACGGTGCGGTGCATTGCCCCGACTCAAGTCCTGCGACGACAGAAATGGTTCGAGATCTGCGATGAGGACATTATGCGGACTTTTTCAAACTTGGACTCGGAGGACGACCGTGGACAGGTGAGTCCTGCCTCCTAGGGAAGGGGGACAGGGGCTTTCCTGGGCACCATTGGGACCTGGGAAGGACCCAACGTCCTCCCTTGCCCAGGGCAGACACGTACCTCGCATACCTCGTGTGGGGAAGCTTGAGTCTCCGCTTCCGTGGGCACCTCCTGAGAAAGGTGAAGGTCCTGCGCTGGCCACTCCTGTAGGGCAGATACTGGGGCACAGGAGCCCCCATGCCAGGCCTTGCCTTCCCCAACTTTCCTGCCCTTCTGAATCTCTCTTTCCACCTGTTGTCTCCTCCCCTCCTCTTTTCCCCCTCTCTCTCTAGTCAAGGATGAACACGTCTGGGTGGCCTTGGAGAATGTGGACACCAGTGTTAGGGTGGGGAGGCAAAGGGGGATGGTAAGGAACTCTCCTGGATCCAGGTCCTGACGCTTTCTCTCCACCCGCTAGGGCAAGGGGCTGGGCTAGGACCAGGAGGCGGTGACCTTCCAGCCAACCTGGGCAGGGTGGCTCTCGGTTCTCACTCCCTCTTTGACACACGCATATCCAGAGACCCGAGGTTGGCCTTGTCCTTGCTGTGAACCCTGCCCTTCCCCCTCCAGCCTGCCCCAGACTGTGGGAAGAAACCCTCTGAACCGCATCCATCGAGGACTTGGGCAGCTCTCTCTCCTGGTTTCCTGGAATAAACTCAGACCACCTGCCCGACCCTCATCCTTCTCCCCTGGAGTTTCACCAGTTTCAAACACCAGTTTCAACCAATTCAAATCCAGGCTCTTGCACTGTGGGAACTTGGCCAAGTCAATAACTTCTCTGAACCCTGTAAGATGAGTAGAGCATACTAGTCCCGATACCTTGTGTGGTTACTGTGAAAACCAGACACTGTCTGTCACATCTCTGTCCCCGTGCACCTTCCTGTGTCAGCCTTTGTGCTTCTGTGGTCTCTCGCAGATCCCCATCTCTACATCCTTTGGGGGGTCTCGGACCTCAGTCTCTGTTCTCCTGTGCTCATCCTGACACCCATTCCGCACCTGCCCCGTGACCATCCTGCTACCTGCTCCTTATGTAACTCCTTGCTGCATCCTTGCTCCCACTATTAAATCTCTCCCCTATAAGGAGCTTCTTAAATCACTTCCCACCCCAGCCCCCAGCCCCAAGTCTCCCCCAGTTTGTCCCCTCCCCCATCCTTATAATCTCAGCCCTAAATCCCTACCACCCGTCCCATCCCTGGGCCCCAGTCTTAAATCCTCCCTCCTCCCTCCACACCCCATTCCCAGCCAGGTATTGATGTCCTCTGCCTCTCAGGCCCCCCAGCTGGTGCTTCCTAGGCCCTGGTCCCCCCATTCTTGGGTTCCATTCCTTCCTCTCCATCCCAAAGGCCCAGGCTTCCAATTTTCCGGGGCCCCAAACAGGAGCAGAAGCAGGGCTGTGGGGTGGAGAAGCTCCCTCAGCCCTTTGTCCTCATTGCCGTCTCTTCCCCCGTCCGCTACTGCCTCACCTTTCCCACCCGTCCCCACTGAGCCCCTTTCCTCTCTGGCCGCACCCCCACCCCCGCAGTAACCTCGGAGGCCAGAAGTCCCCAGCCTTCCTCCTCCAGTTCCCCTGTGTGAACACAAAACATTTATTGTAGGAGACGTTGCTTCTCTTCATCTCATGGCATCTCTCCTTGGAGAACAGGGACTTCCAGAGGGTGTGTGGGAGGGCCTGGGAGCACCGGTGTGTCCCAGCAAGGAAGGAAGGGGTCTGTGGGAAGCCCACAGGGCCGTGACTGTCCTCTAGAGACTGGGGCCATTTTGTTACAGAGTGAGTGGTGGCAGGGAAACCTCTGGGTCAGCAGCAAGCCTGGGGGAAGGCTCTGGAAATTTGCGAGGGGCCAGCTTGAGGTAGCTGAGGCGGAAGAAAGTCTGGGAGAAAGAGGGGTTTTTCAGGGGTGGGGATGCAGGGTCCTTCACTCAGCCCGGCCTGTGGCTGGCTGCTCCCTCCAGGACTGTCCCCCCTCCCTTCATTGTTACCCGCTCTGTGGCATCTTCTGGGCCCCCGCCCCTTGCTAACTACCACCCACTCTCACATCTCCAGCCTCCTGTCCCCTCCCTCTTGTCCCGCTGTACCCATGGCTCTGGCTTCCATTGGAGGGACCCTGGCTGTGCACGGTCAGCTTTAGTGGAGTTAGAGGGGAGGTTGACAGGCTGCCCTTTGGCCAGCTCCTGGTGGTGACCACACACATCCACCCAGCCCCATCACCGCACCCCTCACCCAAGGCACATGTCTCTGGAGTCCTTTATATAGCCGATCCCTTCCCGGGAGCTCTCATTTCTGGGTCCCTCCTGATGAGGGGAGACCCGACAGCCAGTGTCCTATCTGAAGATGCCGGTGGTCCGGGTCCTGACACTGGGTCTCTGGCTCTGGGCATCTGCTACAGTGACTCAGGGTGAGTGGGACCGGGGCAGACCCTCCCTGGGGGTCCCATGTGTCCCAGACTCAGGCAGGGCTCCTTCTTCTATTCCCCCACTCCCTTTGCAGGGGAGGGGGCTGTCAATGAGCTGGACACCTGGGCTCTGACCTCATTCTGACTTTGGGGGTGCCTGGAGATGTGTGGGTACAGGGCAAGGGGTGTGGCCTGTGGTTGTGCCATTGATGGCCTACACCAAGCCCCTGGCCCAGGGCTGAGAGGGGCTGGTGTCCCCCAGCTCCCACTCTCCAGCCTTCTCCTTGGAGGAGCAGGGACTCTTTCCTCACCTAGGTGGTGGCCTCTGCCTGCCTTCCCCCTGGAGGGACAGTCCTGAGGGCTGGATCTGCTCAGAAGGCCCGTCTTTCCACACCTCACAGGCGCACCGTATGGGCTATCAGCCCTGGCCCGGGGAGGGAAGGTCCGGGCATCCAGCAGCTTCGTTCTTGCATGGGGAGAGCTCAGGGGTGCCTGGGGAAACCCCTCTGGTTAGAAACAGCTGAAAGGCTGAGGGGGAGACACAGCCTCTTGTTGAACCTGTCACGGCCGTTTCTCTGGGATGCAACCAGTGACGAGCTGATTTCCTGTGGGTTCCCTCAGTCGGAGCTGACTTTCTCATCCCCCGCGCTGGAGACCAGGAAAAACTGGAGGGACGGTATGGGCAGGACAGTCGCTGGAGTGAGGGGTGCTAGGGGAGTGAGACCAAGGTCCCCGGTAGAAGAGGGGATCCTTGAGTTGAAGGCCCCATAGGGTTGTGGGGGAGGGGGTTGAGGGGGCAGGAGGGTGGGGAAGGGAGTTTTGGTGCCCTGCAGGGCGGCAGTGAGATGACCCACGCAGGGAGTTCTGAGACCCCAGTCATGAAGGCGGGCCCTCAGGTGCCACCTGAGCCCACCATCATGCCCTCACGTACCGCCTTCTCCTCTACCCAGACACGTTCAAGGCCCAGCAGCGCAGCCCAGCAGGGGCTGATGGGAAAGGGTTAGGGGCTATGGGGGAACTATGTGGACTTAGGGCATAAAGAAAGAAATTCTAGATAATTTAGCTTTAAGGTCAAATACAAAGACTAGGAAGCTGTGGCTGGGTTCAGCCTCGGGGAGGTCCAGCCTGTCCCTGTCCCCAGGCAGACTCCGGGCCCGTCTCTGGTCAGGCTGTCACGGGAGAGGGAAGGGGGTTGGTGGTGATGAGGATGAAGGGCTCCACAGACAGCTGAGTGTTGGCACCGTGCACCTTGCTGTGAGTTAGAGATAACCACCAGTACAAGCAGACACCCCTCTTCCTAAGGTGCTTGGTATTTTTGTGAAAAAGAACACTGACACCTGTGAGCCCAGTAGCATGCCAGAGTCAGAAAGCATCTATCAGGAGTGGAGAGGTCAGGCAAGTAGGGCCATTCTAGAAGACTCCAGAAGGTCTGATGGTACCCAGAGGGTCCCCCACTTCCTACCCACAGAGGGCTCTGCTTTTCACAAACTCATTTCACAGCAGGTAGCTCACCCTGTGTAAGGAGATGTAGGCAGACAGGAGATCGGGGTTCAGAGAGGGTGAGTGACATACCTGCGGCCACACAGCAAATAATTAATATGACGTCCCCCTTTGACAGAAGGTTTGAAGTGCCCTGTCCCTGCACTGGAGGACCTCAGCCCTCTGCAACGCCCCCCACCCCCTGTTTGTATTCTGGGTCTTCGGGGAGGGGTTCAGATGGTTCAGGGACCCCGGGTGACATCTGTAATTTTCTTTCTAATTGGCACTCTCGTCTGGGTATTCTGTGAGGACTGATGAGGTTTTGGACAAGCAAACAGTAGGGGGAAAGAATGCCAACCTGAGGAGGTAGGAAATCACAGGCAGAGCTGTGTGGGGGAGCTGACCTATAGGAATGCCCCAAAGGTCAGGGGGGCATGTGAGGGAGCACCCCTGGGAGACCAAGGCATTAGAGCCAGGTGGAGGCTTGGAGACCCCAGAGGACCTCCGTGGACTGAGCAGGGGTGGATTGACCTGAGAGCCATCCTGAGAGCCCAACTGAATGAGTAAGTTTATTACTTTCTGTATAAAACAGCACTTCCTTTTAATTGCTCTAAAATCATACTCTGCAAGTTTCAAAGGTTGTCCCTTTGTCTATTGTGAACAAATCACTCTCGTTTTCACCACACTCGTCTTGAGAGTGTTGCCCTGAGAGCCATCCTGGTGTGGCTCTAGCCCGGAGCCCCACTTCCCTTGATGATGGGTTGTGCGGTCACCCGGATACACCATCCTAGACCATGTATGAATGGGAGGGCAGGAACTTCCTTCTGGTGGTTGATGGTGGCCTTCTGGGAGACCTGTTGCATTTGAGGGGACCATGGAGTTTCTGGGTGCAACAGTCTTGCAGGCCTGGGGCTTGGGGGTGGATGTGAATAGGGCACAGGCTAGAATTCTCCATTCTCCATGTGCTACAGGGGCCACAAAGACCAGACAGTGCTGTGGGTCAACACGAGGACTGGAGCCTGTGTCCTGTTTTGTGCTCATGAAGTTCTAAAGAGTTCATGGGTGGGGAGGGGGAGGGGAGCTTCTCAGAATGGCAGGGTGACAGGGTAGCCGTGTCTTCCCTGGAGGGGCTGGGCCAGGGGCCTGAGGGTTCAGAGCTCTGGGGCTGAGCAAGGGGGAGGCGGAAGTGGAAAACGCTCCAGCGCAAAATCAAGACGAGTGTGGCGAAGACGAGAGTGATTTGTTCACAATGGACAAAGGGACAACCTTTGAAACTTGCAGAGTATTATTTTAGAGCAATTAAAAGGAAGTGCTGTTGTATACGGAAAGTAATAAACTTACTCATTCAGCAAACACGGCCGGCCTGACTCCTCCTGGGCAGGTGTTTGGTACTCTGGATGAAGAATGCTGAATAAACCAGTTTATAGTCAAATTTACTGTGTGGAACCATGGGAACAGTACAGGAAGTACTAGAACCCAAGCGGGTGTTGGAGCTCTGAGAGGGGCCAATGATGGAGGAGAGTAGGCGGGGCCTCAGAGTCTGCTTCAGTGCCCCCTGTCCCCTGGC